GATACAGCTAGTTTTGAATACCACAGTGCAAAAAACAATTAATATTAGTCCCTTACATGCTTTGATTGGAATTGAATCGGCAACTCCTCTAATACAGGCAGTTTTGAATGACCTATCACATGATTTGACACCAATACGAAACTTGCCCCTTGATAGACAGCGAGTGAAGGAACGACTTACTCCGAGCGAACCTCTGAAGAAAAAATTAAATCAAAACAGGCGTGAAACCGTTCAATATGCTGTTGGGGATTTTGTACTGGTCCATAGGGCGGGTAAATTGCATGTTAGCAAGTCAAAATTTGAATTTTTGGGTCCATACGAAATTATGAATATTACGAAAAAGGGTCGCTACGAATTGAAGCGGGTTGGTGCGAGTAGACACAAAATTATAAACGCTTCTAAGGAGCAACTGAGGTTGTGGCCAACGGACTGGTCGTTGGCGACTGAAATGTCCGACTTGTTAGATTTTTTAGAAAATGAGACTGCAACAAAGGATGTTGGCAAGTTAACATTGTCTGATGGTTATGAAGCTATTTATAAATACTGTTTTGCTGCAAGGTTGCAATATACCTTGGCTCTTGATATATGTTTTGACTGAGTATGAATACTGTTTTGCTGCAAGGTTGCAATATACCTTGGCTCTTGATATGTTTTAAAGGAGTATTAATACAGTTTTGCTGCAAGGTTACAATATACCTTGGCTCTTGATACATGTTTTAAATGAGTGTTAATACTGTTTTGCTGCAAGATTGCAATATACCTTGGCTCTTGATATATGTTTTGATTGAGTATTAATACTGTTTTGCTGCAAGGTTGCAATATACCTTGGCTCTTGATATATGTTTTAAATGAGTATTAATAGTTTTGCTGCAAGGTTGCAATATACCTTGGCTCTTGATATGTTTTGAATAAGTATTAATACAGTNACATATTAAAATTTAAAACTACCGTTAACGACAATAATATTTTGCTAGACTGTAAAAAATACCACAAAGTAGTTCAAACGTCTCAGTTTTAGTTGCAGACTACTATTCTACGTGTCAAAACTTTTACGCTATAAATGCGACGTAAAAAATAGAAATTTCTATGAGAAAACTTGTATATATTGTAAATATTTCCGCATGGGGAATTTCGGAGCATTCGAGCTTACTGATCTGTTTTCCGCAGGCAAGCATTACGGCAAGGCGGTGGACTGGATGGATGTCACGGGCAAGGAGCAAGGAGCTCAGCCTGTGGAAGAGCATGCTGGAGAGGCCGAACTTTTGGGTGGAGGGCTGCCTGTCGCTGCGATCCAGCCTGTATACTCGAGCGTCGTAACGGAATACTCAGCCGACATATCTAGGATATGCGCATATATATATATATATGTACTGTTATTGATAATTTTTTAAAAATATTGTTAGTATGTTTCCGAAATGTACATGGGTTAAAATGTGTGATCATTTTAATATGTAAGTAAATGTTTATTACTAGTTATTTAATGTATACCTTTATAGGTAATGATTTCTAACAAACTGATGTATTTTCTTATAATATTAAATAGATGTTTTCTACGTTTATGTTTGCGTTTCATTTTTTGATACTCCGGAGTTCGAAACGTACCTGAGTAGTTCAAACGTCTCCGTTTTAGATGCATGCTTCTATTCTGTTTAAAATATGCGATAAACTATTCCAAATCTCTCTTAATTTGTGAAAAATTCGGGGGTATTTTATTACTTTCTAATGTGGTAATCTACATAAAAGTTTTTAAAATCTTCGAAATTTTGTCGGTTTAATTCAAATTTTTGTTAGATAGGCAACACACAATACAACAGCAATGTATACTTGGCTGCATAATAATTCTTAAAATTTTCTATTTTGTCAGTCACGGTCCGTAAAGAGACGGTCGCCCCATAAGTCAATCAGCCAATAAAAAAACAGATACGTCACCAAATACCTGAGTTTATCTTCATTCATTAGTTATCTCTTTCTAACTCATTGCATATCCCATAAGAAAATAAGAGGCAAATTTAAAATTGTCACTTTTCTTGTACCACGCTCCTTTTATGGTTAATTAACAGGTATTTTGAGTCTAAAATGTTACCTTTATATACAAAGTGAACCTTTACATTGGAATTTGGATATAAAAGGGTGAAATGTGAAATTGTCTTGAATACACACTACGATCGGTCACCAATTTTGACGTTTGGTTACATAATTAACCTAAAATTTGTGTTAATTTTATTACAGATATTTATTAATATCCATAAACCCTAATAAAATGAAGAGGGGAAGTGAATATATAATTTAGACCTATCTTAATATTCTCTTGGCTCCAAAATAAAAACTGTGTACAGTTTATACGATATTGTATCTGCTTTTGTCTAGTTAAATTTCAAATAACTTACTAAAGTACTTTATAATAGGCTGCAACATAATTTATTTTTGTACTTACCAACTACAGTTTTACAGTTAATGTTCCGAATTAAAAAACTCCTAAGTTTTTACAAGTAAACTATACAGTAGTTTTTAACTTTGAAAAAGTTTTTTTCGGTGTTCGGAGTTAAACGGACTAAGGAGGAATAAAAGGAAAGGAAGAAGAGGAAAAGTTAATCGCACAGAACTTTTGACATAACATTTAATTTTAAGAAAAATTGTCAAGTTTACAAAAATATTAAAATCACATTTCAATAGACACCTACTTAAAATTTCCAATCGCTTTTCTAACAATCACATCAATTTGTTATAAAACAATAACAATAAATTTGGTCCTTTTGAAGTGAATACAGTCAAACTAGAACTTTAACGTTTAACCTGTTTTTTTTAAGTCTTTTTCTTGATGTTAAACTTAATAGCTCTGCTTGAAGATCGCGTTTAAAGTTTGAGTCTCTCCTTAGGATAAATACTTTAATTGCATTAAATATTTATTTAGTGTTTTTAAATTTTCTTCGTTTAGCACTATGAAAATTATTGCAAATTGCAACACTACACCTCACTGCTGGCATTTGTACATGGTAAATTAATAGTTTATATTAAACACTAAACATCAACTTATTAAAAACTATTATCAATAACCAACTAATTACTGCAAAATACCCAAACAACTATGAAAGATTTAATTAAATACTTGCAAAAATGCAAAATTACTAGTGAGGTCGCACGTAAACAAACATGAATCCTAAAAGCATAGAAAAAAAATGAAAAAATAATATACAAGATAGAACGAAATCTCCCTAAATAATCCACTAAACCATTACCACAGCGCCTCTGGTGATTTGGAAGCCTAACTAATGCATAATGTAGACAACCGTAGATATGCATATGTACATTTGGTTGCCTAATTTAAGTGCAGTATTTATGGTTGCTCATGGGTCTTAATTATTATTAAATATTTTTCCTTCATATTTAAGTTTAAATAATTAAATATATATTAAAGTAAAGAAATCTACCTTGTTTAAATTGTCCATACTTTAATATATATATATTTAAACTTTTAAATATAAAGGAAAAGCATAAACATACCAGAACCCCATTTGTTCAAAGGAATAAAAAAATATTTTTTCTACAAAACTGTTAAAAGTCAAAAAATTACATTTTTAAAATCAAAAATGACAATTAAAAAGCCCACTTTTAACAGTTTTGTAGAAAAAATAGTGTATGATATACGTGTTAAAAGTGATTTTATATTGTTCGTGAAGTTAAAAAACTCGCTACGCTCGTTTTTTAATCATCTTCACTCACAAAGTAAAATCTTACTTTTAACACGTATATCTTATATCATAAATAGCTATTTTATTATAATATTTCGTTTGTTCACAATTTTCGAGATGGAAAAAATATTAAAATACCATATGATGCGTTAAAAAAAAAATGTCACGCGACATATTCGAACCAGCGATATCGTGACTGTCAGTTCCGAACGCTACCAATTAGGCCACACTCCCAGTTGAATAATGTGTCACATCTAGTGGATTTAGCTGTCAGGTAAAACTTCAAAATCGAATATCTCGGTAATTTATGAACGTTGCGTCGAACTACTTCAGAAAATTCTTATTCAAGGTCCAAACTACACGTACCATAAATATCAAAAATTACAAAAACCCGACTATCTTACCTTCTCCTTAGATGTAATGTTTATCTCTAGACGTAAATTGTCAATGCTAATACGGAGAAGAGTTTGTAAAAATAACAGAATCTGTTTTTTAATGGTAAATAGATAATATTGGACCGTAGTTTTCTATTTGGATCAACTTTTAATAACGATTGTCGATATTTTAAAAAATAAAGGTACTTTACTCGTGAGCGAAATTTACATTTTTCGAAAAACCTCGTATACGACTGCAAAAAATTGAAATCTGATTATTTCATTTTGGGTTTTAGGCCATGCAGAACTCTTCATCAAGAATAACTTTTTTTCATAAAACCAAAAAAGAGGAGCGTTAAATTGACATCCGCGGGATGTCGGTTATTCAATTCCGTATTGCGATGAAATTTATTTGTACGATTACGGTACAATAATTGTATTAATTCTAAATTGACACAATTATTGAAGTAAAAATTGTAACGTTAGTGGCTCGTTTAAATCAACCTAAATACGTCCACTGTAAAATCATCGTAGTGGGAGAGCGATAGTCTCCGCCTCCAGCTGTAACGCCCGTGCACCCGACCTCGCAGCGATACCTAAGCAGTGTACAGAGAATATATATATATATATATATAATCAAATTCCCTTTTACCCTTAGGTGTCGGGATAGTGTACAGAGAACGGACTCTTAAATTCAATAGGACCGTGCTCGTTCATCTCAATTTTTATTGATTATGTAACACACAATACACTATTTTGTATTTATTTACACAGTTTTCGATTTACCAGTTGCCAGTTTTTTACTCGTTGTTTTTTTTTAATAACTTAATAGAAAAAAGGACGTCTATTAATGAGCACTAAATGCGACAATAAATTAAAAAGATTAAAATATTTTTATTTACATCACAGTAACGTAAAAGATACACATAGCGAGTAAACTATAAGCGAGATACGAATCGTAAAAAAATAACGCTATAAATATTTGTAAATGGATATATAACCAGTCGTTTTATAAATAAAATTTACACAGCAACAATGAAAATGAGCCTATTCAAACCTTCTGCTTCTTCTTCCCTTTGGGGCTCTCCAAGGTGATCAATGCGACCCGTCTGGGTACTTTCTGCTCTACGTTTTTCGCATCCGTCGCTTTACTCGGAGCTTTGTCTGTCGAATCGTTGCTATTATCCGAGATCACTATCGGTGAGTTATCTTCAACGTTGCTTCCTCCGTTTCGAGATTTTTTGCGTTCTTCCGCCGGGTCCTTCTTGCTTTTTGTTTCCGATTCCCGCGTGTCTTCCAATTGCAAGCAGAAGTCTTCCGTGCAGTCTTCCTCCATCGGCTCACTTTTCGAGCTGGTGGCGCTCTCGTTGTTAACCGTTTTCGGTTCTTTCTCGCACTTCCAGGCATCCCTCGCCTCGTCCTCGGCTAAAGTTACATCGACGCAACTCGGAACTGCCTTTGTGGCGGGTTTCTTACCTTTCGGTGCCGTACTCTTCAGAAATTTCAGCAAGGAATTGTTTTTCGGCGGCGTAATTTTCTTTTTTATCAACGACGATACTTTAATTTTGGAAGTTTCTGTGAATTTTGTGTCTGTTTTCTGCGATTTTGTTGCTTTGTTGTGCCGATTTTCTAAATCGTCATCGTCATCAATTTCTATTACTTCTTCGTGTTCTCCGTTAACTCCTTTTTTTGAGGGTTTGTCTACCCCACAATTTCCCTTAACTTCTAAGTGAGTTGGTTCTGTTGAAGTTTCCATCTTATAATTGTTTACGGGACGATTTTCTTTCAAATCGTTCGGGTCCCTCGGTTTTCTCCGTACCTCTATGGGTTTGGCCACTGAAACAAATTTAGAAATACATAATGAAAAATTAACAAAAAAGTTTTTAATAAAAACGTTTACTTTTGTCTGAAAGCACTGTGTTTAGTTTGTGAATTTCAATACCGACGACCTCTGACATTTATAACTTAATATCGTTTCAAAACAATTTAAAAATAATTTTTTTATTGTGCACTCACCATCTTTCCCGCCTTCTTCCATTCTAGGTTTCCGTCTGACAGCGATCGGTTTGGCGACTGATACATCGTCCTTCCCTGTACTATTTTCAACCTTTGCAATCGCCCGCCTAGGTATCAATTTGTTAATCTCCTCCCTTATCTCGTTCGGCAACTCCCTCACGTCCTCTTCGTTCTCGACGAGTTCAATCACATCTTTGCCTTCCGTTACGGCAGCTTTTTTGTTTTCGTCACCGAGTTTAATTCGTTTCGGAGTTTTAATCGCCCATTGTTCGATGAAACTCGGCCGTTTCTTCTCCTTAGGCTTCTCGACGGTACCGACCACCTCTTCTTTCTCCAGCTCCTCACACCCGCTGACGTCCATGGGGTTCTCTTCCGCTTCGCTGTCCTCTTTGACGTACGGCACGCCGAGCTCGTCCACTTCGAAGGTGATGAGAGCGCAGAATCCGTCTGTCGAGGAGGCGACGAGTAGTCTTCCGTCGCCCGACCAAGTCAAATCCGTGAGGCGGGTGTAGTGGATCTCTTGGAACCTAGCGAAGGGGACGGTCTGTTGGGTGTCGTAGAGGATGACATCGTGGTCGGTGCCAACGGCAAATATCATGCGGTAGGGAAGGTCCACTATCGGTTTAGGGCCGTCTCCGTACAGCTCGAACAGGACGGGGCAGAATCGTACCGTCGTACTGCATTGTTTTTTCAACGGGAGGACGGCTCGGGGCCTGAAAGAAAAAGTGTCATGATAGTCACGAAATAACTTTTAAAACGTTAAACACTCACTCGTTTAAATTGTCTAAAGTGAAAATCAATGTTGCGTTAAGTGGTTTCTTACAATCTTCCGATTCTATGTGTCCGGAGGGGACCACAAGCAACGATCCGTCCGGTGAGAACTGCAGTCTTCGAAAAAACGATTTGAAGGTGTCATCATGGAAATATTTCACGTCTTTATTGAATAAATAATGATCGGAAGGCACAGGCAAGCGACCTTTGTGTATCCTTGCCTTTATTTGTTTGCCGTTCGTGTTAATAACTCGACAAATCCTATCGGTGCAGATGGTAGCGATTAATTGATCTTTTGGATCCCAAGCTACACCCTAGAACAGTATTATAAAGTATTTACCTTAAAACTATTGAAATTTTTCATACCTGAACGAATCCTTTGTGATCGGAAAGTATATGATCCAATTTCCCTTTCGTTATATCCCACAATATCGCTGTATTGTCTATAGATCCCGATAGTAGTTTTAAGCCATCGACAGACCAACATAAGTCATATATATCTTCTTTGTGGCCTCTTAATATCTGAAAGAAAACAATTCTGAAATATCGTGATCATTTTTCATCAAATACCTACTTTGTAAACAATCCAAATTTCCTTGTCGCCAGTATCACCTTCCAGGAGCGGTATGCTGTCTGTTTTTCGTTGCCAAATAATTATGTTAGCGTCATCATCAGCCGAGGCAAGGTATTGACCCGAAGGTGACCATCGCACCACATTAACTGCCCTCTGATGTCTCGTTAAGTCGGAGACAAGTTCTTGCTTAACCGCTCCATTTTCACTTAAGCTAGCGTGCCATATCTATAAAAGGAATTAAGAAGGCTTCTTATTTCTGCACTGTTGCGAACATACCAATACATGACTGTCTCCTCCACTTGTTGCTAACCTATAAATCTCACTTGAAACAGGATTTATGTCGACACTTAACACCGGTTCTCTGTTATGCCAAGATATCTCAGGTATTGTACACTTCATAGCTTCCTCACAGCGAAATCTGGCCCCGTAGGATGATGAATCTGGTAATACAAAAAGTTCTTTGTAGTTTAACAAGTTTAGACGACCTTAGAAGTTATTTGTGCGGTTTACCGCCAATTTCATCTGTCAAGATTGTTTTCGTCAAGGGTAGCCAACAGTGTTTATTTAATTCCCTTACGTTTTCCTAGTTTTATTACGTTGATCTCAATCAGAGTGGCAGTACTGGTAATTTAAGATTTGTGTTTTTAGATATTCCCATTCAAATTTAAAAGTAAATTCAAGAAAGCTGTGTTTGTTTGTTGAGTGTCCACATAACACTTAAATTAAAATATAATGGAAACTGCAGTAGTTAAAGCTTTGTTGAATTTATTTTTTCGTACAGCGCCATGCAACGGATATGTACCTAACTTTTTATACAACTTATGTCACTTCACTGACTAATGAGTCAGCTCAGCGCCATCTATTATACATGGAAGATAATATATTTCGGCACTAAAATTAAATTCAAGAAATATTTACTTATCCATGAGATTAGAAAAACTCAAACGAAAACAGGGAAACAGGCACGGACATTGAGGAATGCACAAATGTCAATTTAGAGTCATCGGTCATAATGATTCGTTTGTTTTTGAAATTTGTAATGTTAGATATATATCCGTTAGATGGCGCTATGGTCGATGTCAAAATTCCCCAATAAACTTTCAACGAATGCAATTTTCTTTATAATTTACGAATTAAGTGGCTTACGTCACAGTAGATGTCGCAATTGATTTTTGTTTAGAATGCAATAATAACGATATATATTTAATAGTTTATGTTTATAACCGTAGAAATGTGATTACATTCCTATGTTTATAGTATATTCGTGTTTATATCGAGAAATGTAAGTCATAAATGCATGTTTATAAGCCGAAATAAAAACATTTATTTCTCAGAAACGCGAATACCTACCGGTGTTGCTGATGAGTTTTATCCACTTTTATCCTCGTCGTGCAATCATGTTCATTTGGCTGATGTACCTATGCTTTTGGCTTGGACGACGCATAGAATATAAATGGAAGCAATCTGCCAGTTGCAAGCCTCTCAAGTTTGAACGTCCAGTCATTCGTATAAGGCATGGTGTTTACATTGACCTATGCGGGATAATTTCACAATGTTTTGCTGTAAACACTGTAGTTTTAATCAGGCGTACGCTGGACTGCAGCACCGATCGAAGTGGCGATTGCGTTGAATACAAACGAAAATGGCATTGTGGATGCGAGTTCATTTGAGTAAATGCCACATTAACAAGTAACAACAACAACTTCTTGTAATGACTGCTCAGGGCCGTCAAATTCATACTGAAAATAATGATTAATAATTAAGAGCTTTTCGAGAAAATATATTAAGTAAACATTTTTTGTAATCGGTTATACGTATTCTACTCGTTTTTCCCCATCTTTCCTAAGCATTATTGACTGAAACAGCCTGTTTAAATACAAATTGAGTAACGTACTCTTCCAGTAACGAGGGCTAATAAAAAATTTTTGCATGTTAGACATTCGCAAGCTCCACACAGCTGATGCAGTATCTTACCGCGGTTGGGTATTTATCATTTCATTGTTAATAGATAAATATCTGATTGGATTATTGATTGTGTTGCTTTATGCGTTGCTCTTTGCCACCGAAGGCCGTGGCATTTACCATATATAATATAACATAACCGTGTTACGTAACAACGAATTGGAAATATGTTAGTGTCACCGAAATTCGAACTGTGATCGATGTGCGAGTAGATGTACTTACACGTCTAATTAATAATTATAGTTGAAATTTGACCTAGACACATTCTGTTTGTTTATAATAAACACATGTTACGGGTACGCTTTGTTACTTATATTTTATCTAATTAAATTCACAATCAGCGTAAAAATTAAAGGCGCAGACAAATTTTCAATTTTTTTTTAGTGATTTTTTAAAGGCTGTAATTTCGTGAATAATTGTCGTGTCGAGAAAAAAAAAGAGCATCTTGAAGCTTGAAGATTCTAGTTTTGAAATCTTGAGATGAAACGTTTTTTTGAACATCACTTTCGGCGCAAACAAAAGAAATAATGCAAGACAAAAATTTTACAATTTTTTTTAATTTTCGAAACTGCACCTGGGCTCAGAAAAATTTTTTCTGACTGTATCAATGCCAGGGTCATATTTACCCTGATACGTTGAAGTCACCCCTTTTTTTATCGTCGGTATTTCATGGACTAACGATCGTACAGCTAACGGAAGGTGAGTTTTAGAAACCTGAATCAATCCTCTTCAAGGGCATTTTGATATTTGAAAAATTATTTTTTTCATACTCAGCATTTGAAAAAGTCCAATATAATAATTTTTTTTTAAGCTGTTTTGAAAAGTCAACAATTACTTAGACCCCATTTTTATGAAAATTTGGAATTAAGCTTATTTCACTCTGAAGATGTAAAGTTATATTCTGCTTGATATGCGCTTCTTATTTTTAGGGGATGAAAACCACCCATATGCTAAAAAACTGATTAAATATAAATAAAGATTAAAGTCATATCTTAATATATAGAATAAATATTGTTTTATATTGTGGGTTATAATTTACGTTATTTTTATAAAGTTTCAACCCTTACAAACCACCATTAATGATAAAAATATAAAATTACTAGTTTCTTTGACCTTAAAATACTTTTATATCGCATACATAGAAATCTTTTCAATAGTTTATGGTAGTATAAATAATTTAATACAATATTTCTCTTAACAAACTACCCCTAATAACAAAATATTAAAAAAATATAGTTTTTAACAGTTTGAAATGATTTGATAGTACAAACAGGATAAATTAAATTTTTTTAACTGTTTATAACACAATTTATAATTTCGCATTGTTTTAACCCTTAAAAACCACCCCCAACGACAAAATATAATTTATACAGTATTCAAAGTAATTATTTCACAAGTGCTGTAAAATAAAATTAAATACTTTTTAACGCGTTATTTTTGAGGTTTTTGAGGTTAAAGGGTTTGAAAAACATTACCTTAGCCCTCAACTGCAAATTTCAGGCAGTGACATCTCTGTTAATTGTTGTTCTATACAAATAAAAAAAAACAAAATATCGTGAAAAAAAAATCGAACGTTTTGTATTCTTGAATATTTTTCGTATTTTTTATTTTTAAAGTTATTTTCAAAAATATGCATTCTAAACCGCTTAAACTTATATAATATATTGTTAGCATATAAAAAATGTAAACTGTAGAAGGATTACCTTTAAATTTAAATTCGTCAGGTTTTGTGTTGATTTTTTTTCCGAAAAAGCAAATTAACAGTTTTATTTTGATCATAACTCTGTTTTTGCTAACGATTTAGTCAAGTTCATTTTAAAGATTTTTTAAAGTACTTTAAAAAATGTTTTGAAAAATAGATTTCTTTTTAGTTATTTGCACCTACATAAAACAGAAACAGAAACTCAATCTTTGTCTTTTTCTATTAGCTTCATTTTCTTTGATGTTTTTTTTTCTATGGAATGTCTATTTTCCGAGTTATTCGAGAAAAACTACTATTTTTTTACAAGAAAATGTACATTTTTAATCACCAATAACTGAGAAAATATTGACTTATCGAAAAATGTTAATACATACGTTACTTTTTTCTTAATATTGTTTGCTTTATCGATTCCTGAGGTTATTTTCAATATTTTATTTTTCACCCACTAGAAGGGATGGCTTCCACCCTCTGGACAAAAGCGCTCATCGGCACTATATACCTTTTGTTTCTTGAGCTATTTTCTTCTTACAGTCCAAGTTTTACGTCAGTTGGTTCTCTCTGAAAGAATTTGGAGGGGAAACCCTTGGTTCCTGGACTATTTCTGAATCGTCAAAATTTTATAAAAAATTAAAGGAGCAGGCTTATTGCTCTTTAAATATCAATTAATGGCGAGATAAATTTTTTTGTATTATTTTTCTCACAATTTCGCGTTAAATTCTCAACAAATATCGCAAAAAAATTAAAAAAAAATTCAATTTTGAAAAAAAATTAATTTTTTCAAAATTTAAAAACAATTTTTGTGTCCTCGTTTTTACAATTTTACACTGAATATTTCAAATGTGGAGAATTTTTTTTTTATAACTATTTTTATTTATTTTTACTTTATGTCTTTGTTCTCTTGAAAATAATGGTAGAGATCGAAGTTTTAGCAAATTTTCTTGTTACCCCATTAACCGTGACTTATCCAATATGTCGCCGTAAGCATTCTATTCTCAAGTGTAATTTATCTAAACGTCTTTTTTCTCCCCTTATGGTCGCTAACGATGCACTTACTCCGCTTGTACAAGGCTGCACTCCATATTTCGGGGTCAACGAAGGTGCACACATATTCTTGGGTTGTTCACCTGTCGCCCGTAGGTAGAGGTTTCGCAACCGAATCTCCTAATTATCGAAACGATCATCTCTCGCGGCAAAATAACCCGCCAAGTTTGGGTATAGCAAAAAACCGGGGGATAATTAGAAGTTCTGTGAAAGGCTGTTGTGTTTTTGAGGTCAAGTCTCGTTTTGGATGCAAGATCTTGCCATTAACTTTTTGCCTCGGTAGCAGTGGGTCTAAGAGCGATTTTCAGTGCAGAACGAAGTCGGATGACCCGGCTAGAACCCGCTCTCACTTTTAAACAAATTTTAACGGCGAAGAGCATATTTATCTGTCGCGTTTTTGCAAAAATAAACCACTGTGGTATATTTCAATGACTCGGAGCGAGACACTAAACCGTAGGGGACCAAGGACGCATCCCGGAGGCGCCCCAGATTTCTCTGCGCCTCCGTCGAAGCCGCTATTACATAACACCACGGCCTAGCCATAAACATCGAGGTGCCAAATATTTTAACGGCCTCCGAGTAAGTCGGTTCGTTTGTCTCTTGTCCATACACTTTCTTGAATTAATTTTTATGGGCCCTATTCTTGTAATTTATGCCGTTACCCAGGTGTGCACCTGTGGGCGCCGAGATCACCTAATAGAAACGTGCAAATTTATTGCTTACAATCTTGATCAGTTTGACCTTTAGCTCCGGCAAGTTATGTAAACTGAAGAAGACCG